CATCTGATATGAAAGTTTATTAGTCCCCTATCAGGGAGTGACTTTGGAGAACCTGTCACACAAGTAAGCTAATGTATGGGAGATAGCTTTGAAAACCTATCAAACACTTCACAAATATAAAATGGCATTATTATTTATTATTATTGCTGTTATTTGATAGTTTTCTAGCCAGTCCTGTTTCACTTCTGCTGTATGTAGAAACAGAAAAAAATCCCATTTTCATTTATGAAGAGGGACACTTTTGAACTGATAGAATTCAGTAAGGGGAGGAAGAGAAATTAGACAGTTAAGATTTGATTCCAACTAAGCTTGACAGAAATAAGAGGTGTGTTTAATGTTGGATTTTTGAATAACTATGCATCATATACTAAAGGAAAAATTGACCCAAGTGGAAGTATAATTCTCTTGAGAAATGTGTTTAGGCAGTGAAGGGATTCCTGGCAATGATTGAGAAATACAGTAATGGGTAACTGCATTTGATTTCTTTTGAGGTTGACTCTGATATGTGTAGTCTTTACATCCTATTAAATTTTTGAAAGATAAACTGATACAAGAATGATTTGCCAAGGCCAGCGACTCTTCCTTCTAAAACCTTGGCTCAGCTTATGCATTGGAGGGATGTGGGAGTAAGATAAAAGCATTATAAATATGAGGTTAACCGAATTCAAATGGAAGGTTCTCTCCAGTTATTGCATTCCTTAGAAAATAAATACATTGCGCATATGGTTAAGATTGATCAAAAAAGTATTCTGTATGCCAGTGATTACATTCCCATCTGTGATTAAGGTTTTCTGTCTGCATCTGGTTTTCACATTATATTTCTGTAACAAGAATCCTTTATATAGCAGAGTTCACTTTCTGTATTTTCGATCAGCTGCAGCTTGAACTACTGCACGGATCGCAGATTTACACATGTGGTTTTCATTACTTCATACCATTGAGAAAAAGTAATATTTGTTTGGGAATGTATGTTTTCCACAATTTCCATGGCAATACAACATGCTGAGCCTTTTTTTTTTTTTAATAATGCTCTTGTAGAACTACAAATTGTTGAGACGCTCTACTGTGAGTGAAGTATAGCTTTTGAAACCATCCTGAAAGTACACTGTACTAAGAAGGTTTTACAAATTGGGTAGGAGGAGCAGAGGTCATCCAAGACTCTTATTTTGGATGCAAAGATATGTATCATTTGAACATGGCAGAGTACCTAGAGGAGAGGATAAAAATACTCAAGTGGGCATTTTTCATGTTACTTGTTATTGTTTGTGTTACTTTATACTTTTTTGCCAGTACTAAGGTTCATGCTTTACAAAATCTAATAAAATGAACTCCCTCATCATTCAGCTTAATAACATCCGACTGAAATTTCTTAAAAAGCTAATTTTTACCATAGACTCATTAAATAGGCTCTTTTGAATACAAAGTGTGCAGGTTGTGGGGGAGGGATCCTGGATTTGGTTTAAATCAGCATAGTATAGTGCTTTCAAACTACATGTTATTTAAGGGTTTGGGAATATTGTATTTGAGTACCAGTGGGATTCCAGAGAATACGAAATACCCAATTCACATAGGTATTATAAATGAAGACACAGATGGGAAGTTCAGTGATAAACTCAGAGTTTCAAGGTAGTAGAAATAAGTCTTTGACCTAATGTACTAAAGGTTTTGGTTTTTTTTTTTTAGGCTTAAAGCTTGTACCCTAAATTTTATGATTCTCATTACATCATGATTTCCATTATGTTGGTCAGGTACCAGTTGAATTGGATGACATCTGAGGTCCCTTCCAGCTTGTAACCCTTTGCAAGCTGAATCTCTTTTAAAACTTGCATAGAAGAGATTTAGTTTGAAGCATTCTCTATTACAGCTCACATACACACACACACACACATACACACATACACAAACACCCACACAAATGAAGCTGTCAAGAAAACCCCACATAGTCACGAAGAGTCAGACACGACTGAAATGACACAACAACAATATACATATATAGGTATATACACATACACACATATATAATAGAAACATCACTATATGTGGGGGAATGTTCTTGATTTGAGAAGCAGGTTTTAAGGCTAATCTATAATTAGAAAAACATTTTAGTTTACTTCTACACAGAAAAATACATATATATATCTATGTAAGCCATACTGAAGTAGGAGTTGTAAGAAAAATACCTTATTTCTGTTGAGAACATGCTGATATATGATTGAAGGTAAGTTTAGATGCAAAACAAAGAATTTTGGGGATTAAAATCATCCTATAATTTGAGGGTTGGCATATATCTAATAGGTGTTTATAGTTTGAAGAGAAATTTTTGTTAATGTCTTTGGTGAAAGGTCACCGAATATGATACAGTTATTATTTGGTTTTCAAAAATAATAGTAATTCTTAGAAATGTACGTGGAAGTAATACAAGAGATTCTTTGGAGGGGTCATTTTGAAATTCTGGACATTTTAATGACTGGCAGTTTTTTAGAAAATTATATTAAAACAACTCATTAAAGAATTTTCAAGCTCCTCCTTCCCCACTATGTTTTTAACTTTAAAAGATCAAATTCTGTTTTGGGGAAAAGTTTTCAATTTATTCCTACCTAATTAATTTCTTATTCTAAGAAAATATTCTTATTTAAAGTTCAGTAAGCCATAGCAATTGTATTCACTTTGGAGTGATTTTAAATTTTGCCAATGTCAATTGTTATATATATAGCTTGACATACAACATTTAAAAGACCCTAAATATGGGTAGAGTGGCTTGGCTAGTTATTAGTAGGCAGAAAAATTGGCATTTGAAAGGAGCATAGTATTAGATGCTTTGAATTTGTACTTTCCCTTTTTTGTGCATTCTGGGTTGGAATATTTATCCCAAACAAAAACAATTAAGCATCATCATTGTTAGATTCTTTGAGATGATTTGATGGGCTTGTTGGAGTGCAAACCATCTTAATCCCATTGTGATTGAGAATTTGCTTTTTTCTTGTTGGAATAGTTTTACTTAAATAAAAGATCCAAATTGTTGTTTCCATTTAAAAGAGAATTCAGAACTAAGTAAATATTTCCAAGTCCTCGCTGATGATGACCTGTAGTAATTGTTCTTGTAGAAACAGTGATATTTATTACTAATGATTCTTCTGTTTCGTGGGTTTCTGTGGTCAAAAAATGAGTCACCTAGTGGCCAATTTACTGGTAATGAGCCTCTCTGGATTAAGTGGGTCTAGTCCATGAAGAACAGATGCTGTCTGTCCCCTTTCCAGCTTGCTTTAGAACCTTCCAAAGCTTGAATTGAACTATGATTCAGTATAAGAATTGTACTTCTCCCCAAGGACTGTCTGTGTAATCATCAACGTAAAGAAAAATAAATACAGTACCTGGAGCATTGTAAGCGCTTAATAAATGTTTGGTGTTTGCTTACTAAATGCTCAATTGGGTAGAATAGCATGTTAATGGTAAGGAATACGTAGGGATTTGGTTTTCTTAGAGGGAAACATCTTTCTGCAAGGATGTGACATAATGCACCAGTAGGGAATAATAATTATGGAAGATAATAACAGTAGTAGTTATGAGGACCAGTGAATAAGTGCATTTCTTTGACTCCACTGGCGTAGGGACATTTCAGTGAGGAAACTGCTGAACTAATAATGCACCTTCGCTGCAATTTTATATGGGGTATGGGGAGGTAGGACAAGTTACCCAGAGTTTCCATAAAGCAGTGTGTGGTTAAGAACAAGACTTGAACCCATTTTTCTGACTCTAAGGTTGCCTTTCTAGCTTCACTTTACAGGAAAGGAAACTGATGGTCAGAGGGTCTGAGTGACTTGCCTGTCATAATCAGGCAGCTAATAACTGCCAAAGCAGGCAATGTTTGTATGTTTTTCATTTTTCAGTGACCAAAAATTTAACATCTATATATTTACTTTTCATTCAATATTATTATTTGAGTATCTCCTATCTTCATAGGTTCTATCTCAGAGTTAATTTCTTGAGTGATACTCTTACATGGTCATACTGAACAAGGGAAACAAAATTATTTTTTGGGTTGTTGCTTGTTTTTGTTGGTTGAAGAGAAAATAAACTGAAGTAGTGAACATAACAGACCTGGCCAGAGAAATGTGTGTGGCATTATAATTCACCATTACTTATGTGCTAGCCACATTCTTTCAACAAACAAACAAACAAAAAATTCTGTTTGTGACTTCTGTTGTATAAGGCATGCCTGTGTATTGGTAAATTTCTTTTTGACCATTGCTGCTTGTTTTTTAACTTTCTTGGCTAATACCTATTACAGTTAAAACAGTGGCAGCATCATGCAATGGAAAGAAACACTGACTTTGGGAATCCAGATGACCTGGGTTTAGATCTCAGCACTGTTACTACCTCTGTGACCTTGGGCAAATCAGCCTCTCTGGGCCTCAGTTCTTCTGAAAAAGTGAAGATTTGGCCTCAAAGGGTCCACTAGCAGCTCTCTAAATCTATGAACTTGTGATTTTCAAAATCCCAAGGCAGTGAAAAAATTTAGATAGCCTCTTTAAAGCTGCCATCTGTATGTAAATTTCTAAGAATTAAAATAGAAACCAGTCACATCTATTACCCAAAGAATCACCTAAAGAAAATGTAAGGTTGGAAGGCTTATGATTTAATCCCTTTATTGAAACAGGTAAAGTATAAAGAATTTTCTTAAAGTATGTACACTACAATCCACACCTCTTTAGAAACCCATTGAAAGACCAAAGAGGGAAAGATTGTGTGTCCACTTAATTGTCACCTCTGCCTTAGGCTTTGTAAAGGATTAATTAATAAGCAGACTTTTTGAAAAAAAAAATAACTTAAAAAAAGTTTTAAAGTGCTCCCTTCTATAAAACTGTGGGTAACATTGTTTTAGAAAGACAGCATTTATCTAATGGTATTTTTTTTTAAATGGCTTAGTGTTTTCATGCATAGAGTGAGTGCTTCAGACTGGATGTGATATGCATTTTTTTTTCCTTTGTTGTTGTCAATAGAAAAGATTGATCTCTGGGCTGGTGAACATAATATCTGTCCCAGTCAGAAAAGGAGAGGAAATTAGCAGAGCGGTTGGTGGAGAATGATATCTGTCAAAAGAAACACTTGGAGAGCACTGAGTTTAGTAATAGGTGACTGCCGGAAAAAAGGGAACTTTGAATTTTATCAAGGTAAGGAACAGACAAATATTTTGATTTTGCAATATGCATACATCTCAGAAAGTTATTCTTTACATTCTTTTCCCCATAAACTGTGACTGTAAAGAATTTTTTTTATACTACATTTTGCCCCTTTTTCCCCTTCCCCTCCCTTATTGATCCTTTAAATGCATAGTTTGGTTGCCACATTTTTTTTTTTCTGTAGTATTTAACTTTTAATAGTGATGGTGCTGGTGGGGGTGGGGTTTTTCTAAAGGGCTGTGTGTGTGTTCTCTAGTGCATCTGTACTGTAGTGGGACCCGTGATAACTTTGGGTCTGATGATATCAAATGATCAAGTACCACTTTTTCTTTCTATTTTCCTGTTGGAGTGTTACTTGCCATGTTTCATAATACATCTGCTATGAGCTAAACAACACTTGAGTTGAGTAAAAACTATGCCATGATTTCTGTGTTTATTGTAACTAGTAGATGGTGTTTTCTCAAACAGTTTGTTGTCTAAATAGAGGAAAAACAAAGCGGTTTTCCATTTTAAAAATGTTTTTATTTTCTCAAAATGAACGGGGTTGTCTTTATATGCATGGGTGAATGTCATGAAGTGTAGGATAACTTGCTAGGCATAGAAGTCTCCTAGGAACTATAAAAGGTCCACACACCACCAGTGGTCTGGGCAGCTGCTTTGGCCAGTATAAATAGAAATGAAGGCAAAAAGTACTTGGCAGGAGGCTTCTTTAAAAGTTTTTATGTTTAAAAACAAAGTGGGGCCATAGAACTAAGGGGCAGACTCTAGATGGGTCAACATTAGAACCCCTTTCTAGGTTTAAAGAATAGTGAGGTTGTACAGAATGACAAGGATGAGTGGAGGGAGCTTGTAGTTGGGCAAAGTATTGTGGAAAAGTAAGTAGGTCTTGGTTGGTGCTTGTCACTAGTGACCAGGAAAGGCATTTAGAAGCCCTGTGTTAGAACTGAGCAAGTTGAGAAAGCAGGATAGAAGGAATGTCCCATTGACTCCATTGCCCTTTGAAATAGAAAGCAGGGAATAATGTTTGCCCCCTTTGCTAGCAGTAGCATTTCGATTTGTGGTCATTATAGCCACGTTTCTTTTTGCTGTTTGGCAATTTGGTTTTGTTGTTGCTGTAGGAGAGTGAGTGGTGTGGTGAGAGGGTTGGTTTGGGGTGCTTTTTAATTTCTTCGGGAAAAAATGAACTTATTATTTCTGATGTTAGAATCTTTGGAGGGGGTCCTTTTATTCATGAATTCTGTTGCACAAATGTGCATGTCACTTATCTTCCGGTCTTTGTCATTTGTTAAATAAAATTTGCGGGTTTTTTTAAATGGACCACAGTTTTGCTGTTAGATTTTTAGTCTACAAGTTCTAAGAGAAGGTTGTTTGGGAGGTAGGGTTTGGAAAGAACATTGACCTGGGATTCTAAACATCCACATTTGAGTCTTGTTGACTCTTCCTTTTACTATTCGTGTGGGCAAATTGCTTAAGCCTTAGTTTTTCATCTGTAAAATGGAAATAATATTACTTGTACTCTACTTCACAGGGCTGGTGGCATGATCAATTAAGATAATTAAGAGAAAGAAGCTTTGTAAAGTTGTTAATATAAATAAATGGAAAGTATTATAATTAGAAGAAAAGAGACAAAAATGTTTCTTTTAAGGGAAAGAAAAAAATCACTAGGGATTATTTACCTAAGTCCTACTACAGGGGAAGCTCTGAATACTAAATGTATATTTCATACTTTTTTCCTTTCTTCTTCTGTGAACTCTAAGGGCAGGGCTTATTTATGTGCGAAAATACATCCAAGGTGTTAATTAAAAATTAAAAAAGAAAGGGGGTAACAGATGCATAAGTACACCTTGGATAAATGTGTTGTAGTTCTAGAGAGCCATCCTCACTGCCCTCTCCTCCCCCCTTACCCCCTCCCCATCAATATCACCGCTTCATCTGCTCATGTGGTGCACACCTGTGGCCTGCTGGCAGTGAACTTGATTGCAGCATGGGAGATCTGTAATGAAAAGCAAAGATGGATGACAAGAACAGACATCATAATACACGTGAGTTATTTGGTGTATTATGCAAATATTGAATTCCCAGATCCATTTTTTTTCCCTAAGGCATCACATATTGATCTCATCTCATTCTCTTCCTCTCCTCCTCTCTGTGCCAATGATAGTTACTGGAGTGTATGTGTGTGTATGTGTGTGTGTGGGGGGGTAATAATCATATCATTAATTGAATTTAAGAACCTCTTCAAAATATCTAAAATAATGTTCTCCCTTAATTTACAGTGGTAATTTTTAAAGCAAGAATCTCTTGCTCTCTCGCACTCTCTCTCTCCCTCCCTCCCTTCTTCCCTCTTTTCCTTTCCCTCTCCCTCCCCCCACTTTTTCTCTCTTTCTCCCTCCCATTTTTCAGGATTTAGATTTGTTAAACATAAAACCATAGTTCAAACTTATAGACACCCCAAACTCACCACTCTTACTCAGATAGTCAGCTAACATTTATTAAGCATCTAATATGTGCCAGAAACTGGGTTAAGCCCTTGGGGTACAAAGAAACCCCAAAACAGCTTTTGCTCTGAAGGAACTCACAGGCTAATGGAGGAGGCAACATGCAAATAGCTGTTTATAAACAAAATATACGCAAGGTGAGTTGAAGATTATTTCAGAGGGAAAGCACAAGATTAAGGGAGACTGGAACTGTAATTTAGCAGTAGGAAAAGTGAGGAGCTCTATAAATATGGAAACCTGGGACTGGAAGTTTGAGAATGACCTGAGGACAGTATTGAAGAAAGTTAACCCGGATGAAAAACTTCATCCTTTAGCTAGATGCCTGGTTTCCTGTGTAGTGGTCATGGAATAGTGGTAGAGTGGAATATGGGGTCAAGGAGAAGGGTAGTTTGGGATGGGGGAAGGGGGAAACTGTAGGCACAAACCAGCCCCACTCAAATCCTGATGTCATTGAACCTAGAGTTTGCATGTTACTTGGTCCCATTAGGGGATAGGGGTTCTTGTTTTTGTTTTAATTCTACTATAAGAGCCTTTATAGATTGGGCCAGGAAGATTTGGAATATGTTTGAATGGTGACCATTCTATTGAGCTTCCTTTTGGAGCCAATAAGAAATACTTGGCAGGAATCCAGCTTTTGTAGTCCAAAGAAAAGAAAGCCCATAATCTATACAAAACATGGAAAGAAAGTAGCAGAGGAAGGAAGAATCAGAGAAAAATGGATTTTTTAGCCTATTGTCTTAAAATCGCATGTCCATACATACATACAAATATCTCTCATGTGGCATTCATATGGTGTCCATCTGCATGCACAGTGTATGTTTTAAGTTAGACATAAAAAAAAGGAATGACATTTTATTTGGGTAACTTTAGATGATAAGGCTGTTCTCCCACAAATATTGATTTCTGTATTAAGGATAGAGGGAAAGTGATTTTCTTCAAGCAAAAGGTCTCTTTTCAGAGAGATTTTGAGTTTTCATATTTTCTTGGTTATATCCTAGGACTCTGGTAGCATTAATGGGCTTTACCCCACATGGAGCTTTGAGCGCCTTGTACCACTGCACACTGATCCCAGGTCAGTGTGATGCGTGAAATCAATTTATTTGAATCTCTTTGCCTCTATAGGAATTTGGCTGTCCGCCAGTTGTTTTCATTTAATGTTCTTTGTGTTGAACACAGACAAGCAGGCAGGCTTTTGTACTCCTCTCTCTTTGGGTCTCTGTCTTCTTTCAGCCAATATTTTACTCTATGGATTTTCAGATGAAGAAGGGATATATTATTTATAGGTTTCTAATCATTGCTTTCAAGTATGAATTTTTTTTAAAAGCTCCTATTACTTCTTTGACTGGGTAGTGGCATTTCTCTGCTTTGGGGTGAATTTTAGGAAAATTACTACAAAAGGCATTTTGGGAATTCAGCTAATGATCATAAGCTTTCTGAAAGAGAATAAAATGGAGCATATCAAGCTTTAATTACACAAAGTAAATAAAGTATTTTCATTCTGAAAACTGAAAATAGCCAGTCATATGTATTCTGTTTTTCAAGGAAGTATTTTGAGTACTAAAGTCTGCTCATTGTGACCAAATTGCTTTTTGGGGAAAAAAAAAAATTGAGGATTTCTAGGGAAGAGGGTGGTGTGGTATTTAGGATAAAAGATGATATGGTATAATGGCTAAGAGGGATCATGGTATCATAGGTTTAGAACTAGAAAGGACCTTAAAGGCCATTGAGTCCAAACCCTTCATTTTACAGGTGACAACCGAGGCCTAGAAAAGTTAAGTGACTTGCTCAGGGTCACAGCTGGTAATTGAGGTAGGATTCAAACTCAGGTCTTTCTAAGTCCAAGTCCAGTAGGCCTTCTGTCTTGTAGGCAGGAAGACTGGCTTTGTGTTTTTGGGCAAGCCCTGACTCTAAGCTGTAGAAAGAGTTGCAAGATCTTCATTGGTAGAAGGAAGTTCCCATAGCTAGAGCCTTCTGGTACTGATGAAATCCTAGGTTTGGATAAAGGAAATAAATATCAATTAGTATTTATACTAATCAGGGGGAGGGGGGAGAACAAAGGTATTTTTAAGTTTTGTGAAAACCACTTTCCAAATCACAGAGAAACTTTTTCTCATCTTGATGAAATTGTGAGTTTTAAACATATTTGTTGTACCATTTATAGGCTATCATCTACTTATCTATATATTGTCTATACATTGCATTGATATCTATCTACATGTGTATGATATGTGTAAGTAGATGTAGTTCGGCAGCAAAAAGTCCCATCACTACTAGCCCCTACAGTAGAAAAGCCAAAGAGATTAACATCTGTCCAGATTCCTATAAGTACTTTTTCTTTTAAATTAGATAGCTTTATCTATCTATGTACTTTTTATTGTTGTTAAGTTGTGCCAGACTGACTCCTTATGACCCCATTTGGGGTTTTCTTGGCAAAGACACTGGAGTGGTTTGCCATTTCCTTCTCCAATCCACATACCTATATATAGTATAAAG